GACTTTTTTCGCCCACGCCAATTCCTCCATAATTCATGGGTTCCATTTTACCATTATTAATACTTATCATTTTTCCTTGGACGTTCACCGTCGGTGCAAAAGACATTTCTTACAAGGAGCAATGGTTCCGGACAAAGGTGAGAAGTTTATTTTTATGAATGATTTTTTTTAATTTAAAACAATGCTTGACATTGCTTTTTTCATCATCGTATGCTTTTGGGGTCGTATGTGCAAAGCTAACATCTGCTCCGCAGGCATTTCAGCAAATGATCTAGCGTAAGCAATGTGTCCTGATATTCAAGAATAGTTAAATTCTGAGCTCAATTTATTGTGTTTTTTACCAACCTATGTTTGCTTTTTACGCTATGAACGTATAAATGGCATGGTTTTAAAGAATGATTTCAGTTTTTTTTACCTTATTGAACGTGCTTCGTACCTCGATGTCTAGAACGGCGTGAATGCGTTTGAGGTAGCACCTAATTTTTACTCTTCTCAGTTTGTTTCCCTTATATCTCCACCAAATATTGCCACCGCCGCTAGTATGATGACTTACAGTAGTAACTAGATTATCTTGTTATGAATTGTACAGCTGTTCCGTCAAATATAGCATTCAATTGTCACATATCATTTATGTTATTTCTCACATTCATGACCCCCCCCTTCTTGCCATAGGAGCTTGATGGTACAATAAAATGATTATTATGTTGACGACTGCATGAGTTGAACAACTTACAGTTTTGTTAGGCATATGCAACTGTTATTTACGGAATAGTTGATTGCGGACCATGATCAATTTCATCAGGTGGACCACTTCGCTTTCCACAATAACAAGACCTTCAAGTTACGCTATCTAATGAACGACGAGTACTGGGATCGTGATGGTGGACCCATTTTCATTTACACCGGTAACGAGGACAATATCGAAGGGTTCGCTGAGGCCACGGTAAGTCTTGTGTATCGGCAGTTGCGGAATGCGATGTCTTTGCTGAGTGTCATTGCTTTTTCTCAATTAACTGAATGTAAGGAAAGGGTATTTGGTGCCAAGAAGTGACGCCGGCTACTCCCATTTTCTCGCACAGTCGGTGATATTGAAAAGCAGAGATCAAACATTAAACTATAGCACAACTCCCACGCATAATAATATTTATAATTGATGGGGTTAATATTTATAATTAATGATGATTACGAGAGACACCGTGGTGGAGTAGTCCGGAAATTACGGAGCCCTCCATGACAACAGAACTTCAGCGCAGTCTCAGTTGTTGAAACAAGTACCCACTCAACACAAATCTCTACAAAGCATTCATACAAAGAATTCATACAAATGCGATTTCCGCACATCAAACACAAGTTGACTGGGATGTCGGAGTTGATCACAACACACTTGTGAATTATCTTAAGTGTCGCGTCTTAACTCAAACAGTCACGTTTGGACAACAAAATCTGCTCAAGTACGAAGTGGCCACAAAAAACATTAAGAAAAAACGGCTGATCGACAGTAATGGCAAAAAATTATTCAAATCTAAAACATTTGCGATGTCTTAGAATATTACAAGAAGTGCACTAGGGCAGGCACAACAGTGTTTTGAAACATTTTTCCAGCCTTGAGTTGGAAGTTTTGCTAGTGTCACTCGCGTTTCAAGCATACCAAATTACACACGCAGGGTGCCTTGTGGGAGTGGGCCCCCGAATTCGGGGCCCTCGTTGTCTTTGTGGAGCACAGGTTCTTCGGCAAGTCCCTGCCGTTCGGCAACAGGTCCTTCGAGGTAATAAGCCTGTTTGCATTTACAATTTTTTTACTAATGGTACTGACCCTGCATAGCGAGGGAAGCAAACATATTTTCTGAGCAGCGCCTCGCTTGCTTGTTACGTGAGCCTAACTGCTTTTCATTCGAATCCATTTCTCATGCTTTCCTGTTGTACTTTACATACCAGTTATGTTATCGATGGTGGCAAAAAAGAGGGGAGGCACTGGTGGTATTCATTCCGAATTTGGGGAAAACCCCAGAACTTGCAATCCTTCGACCCATCTCACGCCCTGCGTGGGAAGGTTGCAGAGCACACCATTCAGAAACACATTTCGTACCCTGTAGAGAAGAGGAATTTATTTCCATACAACATGGTTGGCTTCCGTCCGGCTTTGTCGACGCAGGATGCAATGAAGCTCATCAACTGCCAAGTAATCGACAATCCAACCAAAGACGTCTCTGCTATTCTGGGTTTAGATATGGAAAAAGCTTTTGACTACGTGTGTCACGCACACATTCTGAATGCCATATCTGATCTCAATTTCTGCGCAGCCTTCCACTGTTACGTAAGCTTCTTTCTCAAATGGCGGAAAGCTACACTTAAAATCGGAAACCTAACAACGGAGGCTTTCAAACTTAGCCCTATAAAGGCATAGCGTGAGGAGTAGTTGTTTCATCGCTATAATTTAACAAAGAAATGAGAGGCTTCTCTATGTTACCCCAGGAATTCCTAGTTACTGCATTATAGACCGATCAGACGAGGTTTCAAGCCCAGATGATGGAAACTATTCGCAGATGTCGGTATCAGACTAACCACTCGTGATGAAAACCTTTATTCCTAGAGTCAAACCCATGCACATGTTGTGCATAATTATCGAATTCTATGAATTCAATGGGCTTACATTAGATCGGATCGCCAAAAAATGGTCCTCATACTCATTACTAGAAAGAGAGGAGAAATGGTATAGGAGGAAAGGCAGGTGGGTTAACCCGACCAGGAAAGCCGGTTCGTATTACTAAGGTGCCTAATAGAAGAGGAGGCCCAACAAAGACAATTTACTCTGGCATTCCCATGCCTTTCTCATGAGCAAAATCAACTACGTAGCGCCTATACACAACTTCGATTTTGGAAAAGCTCCAAAATGGTGCTTGGTAGTCTAATGAATGCTGGCATGGAACGCCTGTGTCAATTTGGCGTGTGCAATACGACGTACGAAATCATCGAAGCACGGGAATCAGCCCAGCTGGCTCGATTATCCCGGTTTTTGTCAATGAGAAGAAACTCAGCCATCTTGAACCCCCATCTATCACCTAGCCTCTCTACTCGTGGACCGGCCACACACATTTTACTGCGAAGCTGTGACCATTCATAGTGGGTTGATACCAACTTCTATCACTCCTGTCGCTAGACATCCAGCTCTTCCATGGTGCCTCGCTCAACCAAGTATCATCATTATCCAAACTGGCGTGAAGAAAAAAAAAACCGATTTGTCTTTCCCAGAACTTGAGGAGCTCACCTCATTTCTCCTGTATGAAAAGTACAAAGACTCCATACACATCTACACTGACAGATCCGTTCTGCCGAACAGCTCAGCCAGCGCAGTCATGATAGTTGGTCACGGCGATTAAATTCAAGACAGCCCACACATCAATGACAGCAGTATTGGCAGAAGTTTGTAGCGCATTACTATTCACCAATACTCGACCAGCACGCAAGTGGACTATTTTCAAAAGGCATGTGTTGCCCGCAGCAGTGGTTTTGCATGAGCAAAGACACGGTCGCACGGGAATTGGCCGAGACTATGTACATGCAGAAAGCTGGCGACCTTCGTTCCAGCGTTCCTTCTGTTATTATTTATCGAAATCGGTATAGTGTTTTGGGTGATAGGTTTTGATCTCATTTGGATGCATGAGGATTCCGAAGCTAAGCATACGGAAGAATGAAATTTGAGTGTGCGCTTTTCCGTGTCTTAAGTGTCTTCTTCGCTCCTGTCTAAACATTCGCGCCATAAATTCAAGTTCAGCTTTGCACCAACAAACCCGACAGCAAACGTTAATAAGCTATAGTGCAGCAGATGTTGAATGCGCCGTCTGCGTTTTTGAGAAACCGGCGAATCTCCAAATGAGATGTTCTAAATTTGCTCGACACAGCATTTGACAGTATGAGCATCGTGTATACGTATATGCTCACTCGAAGGTCACGTAGCTTGTGTCGTTTGTCTGGTATGTGCCGTGTGTATCTGTAGTTGGCAATAGCTTTGCTACACCTCAGTTAATCACCACACCCGGAAGACCAAAACCCCCATTCAAGATCTGAGCTGAAGGCTCTGCTATCTGAGCACCGATGCATTACCTTCGCACAAGAATCACAGCACATAGCAAAAGCAAACTATTACAAGCTACATCAGCACGCATACTAAATGACAAGAGAGGGTTTAATTGTCAACAGTAAATTAAGATGAAATAGAGTTTTCTTCTAAAAAAATTCTCCATGTGGAAGCCACGAGGTCAAAAAATATATTGTAACCATGGTAAATGTTTGTCGGAATTTTTGACAATGTTTCATTCCGGCCAAATGAAATTTTCTCAGACCCCCAAATGGATAAGTTACCTCCACACTTTTAAAAACGACATCATTTGTTTCCGTTCGTACATTGCTTCCGTGCTGTTTTCCTCTGTGCAATACGTACGAGCTACTCTGTACGTATGTGTCACTGCTGTGGACATTATAAAAAAGACCGGTGCCTTACTAGCCTCCATGTGCATCGCAGTTTCTGGACGTAAAATCGCAGATATTACTAATATACACTATCAGGTATTCTCTGATAAAGAAACAAAAAAACTTTCAGCCATCCGAGATGCAGTGGAACGTAGTGCAACGCATGACAGCCGCAGAATTCAATTGAGTATGCCGTGTAGTACACTACACCATATCTACCGCAGCCGGAAACCACGAAGATGTGCTCAAGTGCTTGCTTGTGGAAGAAAAAGGGGGTGGTAGGGAGCTCTGCAGATATTCCGAGGGCAGCTGGACGAAACATATTTCTAGCCATTCGCTGCATAAAAGACTCCCGATAATCGAAACAAAGCTCATGATACGCTCTAGACCTTTTGTTGTCACTATCTTCACAGCACACCCGTTTACTAAGACGCTGTTTCTTACCGGAACTCCGTGTTTGTCTCTGATACGATTGTTCGAAAGCAGTATCCTGATTGTGGTAGACAGATACGCCTGGATCAATAGCTATTCAAAGGAAATGAAGTTCTCGGACAATGTGACATTTCCAGCGAACGCTGTTTGAGATCATACTTTTAAAGTGAAAGCTTTCAGATCAATGTACGCCAGTCTTTCGAAAATTCTGAATATTTACTTATTTGCGTAAATTAAGTCATACTTACTGATTTAGTGCATCTGAAAGCTGCTCTTCTCAGACAGCAGGCCATCACACGCGAACACGAAGTGGATGGTGAAGAACTAAACCGTGTATAGAGCGACTCCATGATGCTTAGCACTGATGATTGATATATGAGGTTCAATGTCCCAAAAGCAGCATATGATTATGAGAGACCCCGCGTAGTGGAGGGCTCCAGAAATTTCCACCACCTGGAGTTCTTTAACGTGCACCGAAAGCTGAGCACACGGGCCTACAGCATTTTCGCCTCCACCAAAAATGCAGCCGCCGGAGCCAGTATTCGACCCCGTGACCTGCGGGTCAGCAGCGGAGTACCTTAGCCACTAGAACACTGCAGCGGGGCAACACGATACTAGCGCGGCCAGCGTTTTTCACTTGTGTCGAGGTGCTTTAACTGCGGCCACGGCAATTTCGAATCTCAGAGGCTGTGCTTTAATGGTGTCGTCGTCGAATAGTTCGGCAACGGCGCTAGTAAATGCCATTCCGAATTACTTCCCTCAACGCTCACAGACAGCGGAACTACCACCTAGCCCCTCCAACAGAGAGCACCATGTGAGATATATATAAGGTGCCTTTGTGATGTGTCGTGCACCTGCTTCGGTAGCTCAGTCGGTAGTGTGCGGGCGCTTAACGTTGTTGGCTGAGAGGCCGTGAGTTCGGTTATTGGTGGGGCAACATTTTTCCGGCATCCCGATTCTCGGCATGCATTTCACCAACCAAATGTGGCAAACGTACGTCAATGTGACGAAAATACGCCACGTAAATACATGACGGAAGTACACAACGTGACGGAAATACGTCACTGAAGTCTTGGCGGACCCCGACAAAAATACCTTTTTGTTAGAAAAAGTGTATTTCAACAAGTTAAGTCCCGTACAGGGTGGTGCACAGACACTGCGCGTACTAAATACTGCTCACATTGATGATTATCGCTTGCTGCATTGTTACTCTGACAGCTCCTCACTTGTAGATGAAGCTTTCATGATTTAGTTGTCTCTACTTTCTAGATATGTAATTGGCCGTCCTGCCGGCATGTTGTACATCCCTATTTTTGCTCCCTCTGTCTCTCTTTTATTCATGCACACAGTCTAGCTAATTTCCCGGTCTTTCATATATTCCTTCTCTCTCTCTATTCGATGTTTCGATTTCTGCGATCACCCACTCATACAAAACAGAGGGTCTGATAAAGCGTAATTGCCCGATTCTCAAACTTGGAGCTGAATTGAATACTATCGCAGAATATTGATCGCGTGCTCAACAGTGCAGTGAACAATTAAGCTCCTGTCTGCGCTGTGATACACCGTTTGAGATATTGCAATTTTTGCATGTTGCTTATATAAGGTTTATGTAGCATAACTTTATTCCATACATCTTTATCAAGGCAGCAGCAACAACGAAATAATAGTAACGCCGTAGGCTCTATCGCTATTCCTTTTCAATCCGGGAGATGATGAGCGGGGAAAGTTTAAATAATCGAGCACAGAACGCGTTAGATAGATAGATAGATAGATAGATAGATAGATAGATAGATAGATAGATAGATAGATAGATAGATAGATAGATAGATAGATAGATAGATAGATTTTGTCTACGTCGCCGGACCCATGAACCACAGAGTCCTGAGAAGCTCGGGTACCTGACGAGTGACCAGGCCTTGGCCGACTACGCTGACCTCATCATTCACCTGAAGTACACTCTGCCCGGAGCCGAGAAGAGCGCAGTCATCGCAATCGGTGGATCCTATGGAGGTTTGCTGGCTGCCTGGATGAGGCTTAAGTTCCCGCACCTTGTTGATGGGTGAGCTCGTACTTATTCCTTAATAAGCATGACTGAAGTGTTTTATCGTATGTACATATTCTTTTTTATATGTTTTTATCATTCTCAACACCGTAAACCTGACTACACCCACGGCCTGGAAAAGGCCCCCTCCCATGTTTCGCGAAACCTCCCGCTCCTGTGCTTTCTGCTGCCATGTCATACCTGCAAAACTCTTAATCTCATCAGCCGATCTGGTTTTCTGTCTCCGTCTCAGGCGAAGATTACACCCCACTTGAAATGTACACATATAACTTTCATCATGAAAAATGATAGGTGCAACATTAAGAGACTGGTTGAGATCACAGCTTGTCAGTATCATATAGTTGAAATCCTAAAGAAGAGAACAAGGACGTAGCCGTCCAGGCACGTCCAAAGCCGGGCACGTAGCGCGTAGACAGGATAACCGCTTGTCGTTGAAGAAAACTTACTATATTGCAAGAGGAAGCAATGTTCATCTGAAAAAATAAACAGTAAAACTATTTTGCCCACGCTGCTCTATTGACCCCCCTTCAAATATGATTGTCCTATTTTTCTTTTCTCTAGAGCACTGTCATCAGGTGGTCCATTCAACATGCCACCAGGTCTCGTTCCGTGCTCGACGTACAGTGAAGCAGTCACCAATGCCTACAAAAGCGTGTCTGAGCAGTGCGTCACCGCCATACGCAATTCCTGGCCTGTTATGGAGAGACTTGCTTACACAGGTATAATACGCACGCATGCGAAACTGCTCACATATAAGGATTTGCACTTGCTGAGGATCACTGAGCCATCTCAAGTTTTTCGATTTACTTCAACACACACACACACACACACACACACACACACACACACACACACACACACACACACACACACACACACACACACATATATATATATATATATATATATATATATATATATATATATATATATATATAAAACAATTCAAAGGCGCTAAGTCATCATCATCATCATCATCATCTTCTTGTTCTGCTTCTGCTTCCTTTTCTTCAAAGTTGACATGTTGATCATCCTCCCTCATCCAAAAGCTTTGTGCACCTAACGAAGATTTGCACGGCTTCCGAGATCGAAGGCACAACAAGCTTTCCGCGCTTCACTCGGATTTGCGCAGCCTCCGGATCAGTTCGTCTTTCGATGGCATCATTGCACGTCATGCGCTGATGCCATCATCTGACACAATTGTGACGTCATGACAACCTCCACCTCAGAAATCGTTGCGTCTTTGCCGTGAACACGTCACAACGTTTGTGACGAGACATAGCATATGTGACGTTTGGTGATGTCGTTATCACGTGATTTATTTTTGCATCGCCTTTCATTAAGCTTCTCAGGCTTTCGTCCTAATAAAGTATCGACAAATTGTCTCTTGCTTTGCAAATCGAGCTATTTTTCTTTCATGTTTTTTTTTGCGGAACGTGTGTCAGTGCAGTAAACCAAAAATTAAAACGTGAATGTTTCTGTTGTAAAGAGATGAAACCGCGCATTTTTTTTTATCCAGCATTGAATGCAGAGTGATGAAAACTAAACGCTTCAGCATTGCTTCAAAAGATAGTTTTCGTAAAAAAAAAAAGGTGCACTGCATGAACTAACAAGTCTGGTGTTTTTTTTTTTTAGCAGCGTTCTTACTCTGTGCTTGAGTGCAGCTTAAGATGCTCACAGCTACCTGTCACATAACATAAATAGCGTTAATTCCAAGATACCCGACGTTCACTGTCCGCCGATTAATCTTCTTGAATGACTTTCGCCACATTCGACAGAAATACGCCTGTCGATTCTCAGCGTCAGAGGTTGTGCTCATAAGATGAGATGCGGGATGTTATTCCAAGCCTAATTGTGGATTCGGCCGATTATTTAGCAATCTTGCAAAACGTGTTGAAGCCAATGCTGCATTGTTTGGGCCGACCGTTGAACAACGTACTTGGCTTTTCGCAAAGTTGTTGACGTAAAGTCGCCGAAGTGAAACTCGATGCGAAATGAACGACGCTTGTTGATTTGTGGAATTCAGAGGCATCAGCACGTACTACAAGAGCTCTGCGGAAAGGGTCTTGCTGCAGAGCCTGATTGTAGCTTAAAAAGCGGCATCGAACTTGTTTAGATACATTGTTCAAGTGCACAATTTTCGGTGAATTAATACACTTTCAAAGACAGTGTTCTCTGCGTTTCTATATTCAACAAATGCACTCTAAAGCTAAGCCCCCACCAGAAAAATTCGATGCCAATGCTGATGTCACTTCTCGCTGAATATGAGCAAAAAACTAACGTTATTAACGTTATGTAATGAGAAAGAGCCTGATTTACTATGCACCTAATTCAAACAGTGTCCAATATGTATGTACCAATACAAAACTTCAGACAAGTAAAGCTATAAGGAAAATAAACTTAAGGATAATATGATATCCTTTCAACTGAAGGCTTTTGCACGGTCAGTTTACAACAAAAGTCTTTAGCTCATCTCTATATTTACTACTAATTTCCAGAGGCAGGGGCAAGGCATCTGCAGGAGAAATTCAAGACGTGTCAGCCGTTACATCCGAGCAACTATACACTATTCAGGGACATGCTGCGAGACACATATGGCGTAGTGGCGATGGTAAATTACCCTGAGGAATCTGAGCTGGTTGGCGCACTTCCAGCCAATCCTGTCAAGGTGCGTATTTCTTGGACACACACACACACACACACACACACACACACACACACACACACACACACACACACACACACACACACACACACACACACACACACACACACACACACACACACACACACACGCACACGCACACGCACACGCACACGCACACGCACACACACGTACACGCACACACACGCACACGCACACACACGCACACGCACACACACGTACACGCACACGCACACACGTACACGCACACACACACACACACCCACACACACACACACACATATATATATATATATATATATATATATATATATATATATATATATATATATATATATATATATATATATATATATATATATATATATATATATATATATATATATATATATATATATATATATATATATAAACTTCTTTGCTCCTACGGTACGAACTCCACGTAATCGTGAATGATGATTGAACAATGTTCGTGCGCTATAAGAAATGCCGCTTTCAAACCCACCAATGAATGGAACTTTGGGCTAGTTATTGCGCAGTAATATTTGAAGTGCTCTGTCTGTCGACCCTGTCCTTTTTTGCTATTTTTTGCTATCTTTGTTTGCTGTAAAAACTTGCAAATATGCCTAGCAATGAATTAGGCAGAAATTTCGGTGAACGATAGAAGCCTGAAGCGGTTTGAATTCATCGAACACGGTATGCCAATGGTGCTAAGGTTTCTACAAGTGATTCCAAACAGGGGGCGTAGGCAAAAATCTTTTTCAGAAGGGGGAGGGACACCTCCTCGATTTTGCGGGGGGCATGTCTTAATATGATAATATTTGACTTTTTCTGCCATGACATAAAAAAAAAATTCCAGAGGGGAGGGGAGTGGCAAAGGCCCGGTGTGCCACCCTCTGGCTACGCCACTGCTTTCAAAGAAGACAGCCTCAGTGATGCGACACATGTATCAAAACCCCAGTGATGCCCGGTGTCGAAAGATTTGGTATTTCTTAAATGAATCAGCAAAAAGTATAACCTCAAAATGGGGCCAGATGTATTATGAAGTAAACAAATTATTGTGGCTCTGTTTGTGACATGAATCTTTATACAGATCTTTCATCAACAAAGCTTCCCATTTGAGGATAAAATCAAACTCGTCCTAGATTTTTATGTAGCTTCAACATAATGAAAGGATTATGTTCTTTTCTTTTTCCCAATCCTAAAAATGTTATCATAAAATATTTCTGACATAGCTTGAAATTTCAACATATATGAAAAGCTTAAAACATTAAATAAGTAAATGCACTGGTACTGAATTTACCCCCTTTATACGCGAATGCCAAGTATTTCACGGATAAAATAACATCGTCAAACGACTAGTACCCAAACATATGAAAATGAGCTTTTATACCGAAGGTTGCCCAGACGAAGCTGTGATTATCAACATCTAAAGATACAAATAACGACCGCTTTATTCTCTCCTGGAATACTCCTGTCTTTGTGGCACAGTTTCGAACGTCGTAAGTTTTTCATGCATTGGCATGTTATCGCACGTCTCTCCTGCCTGATATCTCCGGGCTGTTTTGTGTAATCAAATTGTTTCTCCAGAACAGACTGTTGGCTTAGTTGACAATCCACGAACTCTGTAAGAAGCAGCGCTAACACTGTAAATTTAATGCCTAGTTTTTTTTTCTTTGTTGGATACAACATTATTGAGAACTAACAGACAAAGATGTCAAGGAAAGTATAGATGATGTCATTAGTAACGATGGAAAGAAAAAAAAGTGCGAGAAAAGATAACTTACCACCGGCAGCTACTGAAACTGCTACATTTTAATAACGCGTCCGATGCTCTACCAACTGAGCTATGGCGGCGATCATCATTCCTTGTACTTTGTGGTGTATATATATATATATATATATATATATATATATATATATATATATATATATATATATATATATATATATATATATATATATATATATATATATATATATATATATATATATATATATATATATATATGCATTCAAACGTGTGAGAGTTAGTCGTAGCCATTAGCAGACATAGAAACACTCTTTATTACCTGTTGGCGTGACGTAGCTTCTGATCGTATTACGAGCCAGCAGCTGACTCATATTACCTCGCATACTACATGACGGCATCCAGTTTGCCGAAACGAGACCCTCGCTATGATTGAGGAAGGGGTACACCAGAGCTCGTCTTTGGTTTCTCCAGTTTCAGGACCTCCCTACTTTAGTCTCATTCCCTTCCCTATCGTCCGTTAGTTCTCGTCGATATCGTGTCTAACAAAGACATAACTAGCCCTCAAATTTCCCCTTTCCTGAGAACTTCATGATAATGATAAAGCGAAATGTGCATTACATACAGTTATCCTCTAACACGTAGGATTCCTCAATTAGTTGTTCAATCACAGTGCTCTTCAAATGGCGCCCAAGAGCCCCCGTAACTATATTGCTGTTACTTTGTCGTAATGCGATGCAGCCAGAGAAGTTCTTTCTGACAATTCTCACGCTCTAATGTCTGCTACAACGCCTTTACCTTTCTGTAACATATGCAAATTCAGGGTGTGCAACCTGTACACTCTGCCTAAAGATCTACTAGTTTTGCGCAAACTCACAAAAAGAAATGAACACGGTGAAGAAAGCCGCACAGAACACACCAGGAGGAAATTTCGCATGTATGTCTTTTAGTTAGTTCGCGCACGCAAAATTGATCATGTGGAAGTTTATTACCAAGAGACATGCTTCTTAGGTTGCCTGAAGTGTCAGTTTCCGGTGCAAAATACTGACTCATGCCCTAGTAAAGTTGACCATGTTTCATTTTTCCAACTCTCTTATTTCTATAGGAGATCTGCAAACACTTCATGAATGCACCCAGGACGGCGCATGGATTGGTAGACGGCGCTGCAGCCGCAATGTCGATGTTTACTGCCGCAGGTAAAGGACTGCCATGTCTGGATGTTTTCCTGTACGAAAGAAACCTCGCAAGCTATCAGTTCCTGGTAAGCATAAAAGTTCAAGTTGTACGGCATCTCTTCACCAATATTATTCCTATTTCATTCAATCAAAAATTGTATTGACGCCTCACTGTATCATGATTTGGTATTCAATAGCATGCTCGCTGTGGCACGCTTTTTTTTAGCTCTCGTTCAACGCGTGGTCACACCACATGTTCTATTCCGGTGGCGGGATCTGCCGGCCAGAAGTCAGGTGCCATTAACCAATAGACCTCCGTGGCGGTTTGAGAAGCGCGCAGTTGATGCGCCTTAACCAGAAATGGACACTGTTTTGAAAAGTGTGTCCGCCATTCCGTATAGGTTTGTCCCGTGAGAATGGGAAGGGCACTCGGCAACGAGGGCAAAGTGGCTACCGGAGGGCAGAACGGCCAATGAACGGAGGGTATCGAAGGAACAAAAGATACGAGCAATCGCCGTGTTTCGGCCATCAAACGCCCATCACTCGGCTATTGCGGCACCGTTTTCAAAAATTCTCGCGGCTATCGGTGTTCGTTTTCGACTCGTGCTGAATTGCAACACCACATGTGAAATTCAACTTCTGGGGGTGGTTTAGGGGCCCTTTAATGCGATAACAGCAGCATTAAAGAGCTGATTTCGCAGAAGTGCTCGCGTCTATATCTTTGGCTTTGAGATAACGATTACCGCTTCCCGTGGACAAAAAATTGAGATAAAGCTTCGCCTCCACTGAAAACTCAATCCAGGATTTCTGAAGGGCAAGCAAGTGTCCTACCGCAGAGCAACGCGAGGACTGGAAGCTTTACAAAAAAAAAAAAAGCGCTCTTATGTAAAAGGCATGTAGCAGAAGTAGTCCCCGTAATGCATGTTATAGTGCGGTGCAGAAGCGTAGAATTAAATCAGGCATGAAAATGATTGATTTGCACAAAGAGTGGCTTTTTTAAAGGTGATTAGTCACAAAGAGTTCAGGCATAATTGATAATCATCAGCAGCAAAAGCATCAACAAAGTGAACAGCTGCGTAAGTTCACGTGAAGCCACACGGGAACGTAGTGAATACGCGCCTTCAGAAAGCAAAGTGAAGAATTATGGCACAGCGGGGCACTTCACAGTTGTTCTTGGAGTAGGCATTTCAGATTAGTTTGAAACGGCCAATGTTACGTGTACTGTGGTTAGTTTCCTTCTGGCACGGTTTTAAAGACGATAGTCTTTTTTGGGGACCTTCAACGCAAAAATTTTGGTCTGTCTGTCTGTCTGTCTGTCTGTCTGTCTGTCTGTCTGTCTGTATGTATGTATGTATGTATGTATGTATGTATGTATGTATGTATGTATGTATGTATGTATGTATGTATGTATGTATGTATGTATGTATGTATGTATGTATGTATGTATGTATGTATGTATGTATGTATGTATGTATGTATGTACATTTGTTTGTTTGTCCACTCTTAACAGCATCGGGTATTTGAAACGGCCGACCCCATCCACAGCGCCCACCTATGTTGCTCAAGCTTCAGCGTTCAATCTTGTGCAATCCTCGATTAAAAAGCAATTATTGCTCGTGTCTGTGGCACCATAACAACACGTACATGTTCTGCATGTGCGCCTTTTACTAGAAAAGGCATACATAAGTAATTTTAAGGACCGTAGCACTTATCACGCTGCTCTGACCATTCAACGCTTGCACGGAAAGGCGAGTGTTTCCAACGCTTTGCTAAAACGAGACGGTGGTGGCACCTATACCCGTCGCCTTGCGTTCTACACCTTATCACCTCTGAGGCGGGCGCGCACACCCGCCTCAGAGCCACGCGCTTTGTTTTTGAAAGAAAAAAAAAACTGCCAGATTGCGGTCATGTCTCACGTTTGTCGTGATTTGATGCACTTGTTCGCCTCCGCTGCACGCTCGAGGCACTCTAACGCAGCACCTCCAGAATACCACTCACCAATTTTCTTGAGCAGAACATTTAATAAATGTTTTGTTCATTCTCTTCACACGCAAGACTATCGTCTTTCGACGACATTTGTAGATTAAATGCAGATACGGGGCTAATTTTTTTTTACTCTATAGCGTTGTACTCTTGAAGTCAAAGGTCAAGCGTCCTCCAAGATTTTAAAGACGACAGTTTCTCTTGGAGTACTTCAATGCAGGAATGTTGGTCTGTATGTCTTCTTGTGTTTCAAACCACCCGATGAAATTTTAAGCCTTTAGTCTGGGGTAAACCCAGCCATCTTGATCTGGTGGCTGCGTTTATACTTTGTCGATCATAAAGCAAATGTTACGCCTAAGCCACAAAATCAATACGTGAGTATTATGTAGTGTGTTAATTTATATATATTGCATCGGTACGTAATTATAAATACCATAGTGTTTCTGGCGCTGCAGCGACAATGCGACCATATCAACAAAAAAGTGGGTGTTTCCAACGCTTCATTAAGACTAACGGGCGGTTATGCAGGCTCCCTAGCTAAGACGACACCACGACACCGTGCTCGCACCTACTTGGGGGTTTGTGTCCTACAGCGCTTCTCTTTTCAGACATTACTGCCAGATGGCATTAATACCTCATGCAGCGCCTCCAGACGGAACACTATCGTCTTTCGACGACATTTGCTGTGAAGCGCGCAGATACGCGGCCAATTTTTATTTTTTTTTCACTTCTCATGGAAAGTTACACTCGGTACTCGGCTCTTGTAATCTTGTATAAATCCCCGCATCAACAAGCAAGCACAACAGAGATATCTTCCACGAGACATGAAAAGTTGCGCAATGGCGAAAAGAAACAAAAAAAAAAAAAAACTCCGGTACGCATGTAACGAGGTTGGTGAAGTCTTAGCTACGCGGTCTATTCTTCTATGCTATAGAATGGACATCTGCAATTTCATGAACATGCCGAGCAATAATTTATGGATTTCGTCTCATATTTGATTACTTTTATTCTGCGTATAAAAATCGTGCGAGGCAGTATGTGTACATAAGGTGTGTTTGATTTTAGTTCACTTTTGATGTTCATGTAAGGCAGGAGTCGGCCACCTGCAGCCCGTGGGTCAGTATAATGTGACCCACGGCACAATGTCAGAACTCAGGCCTCCCTTTCCTTCCCTTGTTGCTTGCTATCTGAAGGCTGACTCGACAGTTTTGACCTCAAGTGGCGTTTTTCTCATAACCCGTGTTTGTAAATTGCAATCTTGTGACAAGCGCTATTAAAAGAATTATAGCTTCAATTGTACGTTGCTGTCAATGCACGCATTCTTTTCTCTTATTGCCTGCAAGAACTCTCGCCTTCCACCTTCCGACTTGCTCTTCAGGAATGCGGTGTCAGCTTCATGCAATTCGGCCCCTCGCTTCAACAGGTTACCGACCTCTGATGCAAAGCACGCCTTGTTCAGTGGTTCTTAAGTCATCCCTTTATTCAAGAGTAGGCAGGCCTTGTGCCTCTCCATAGGGGGCAGCATGTTACCTCACTATTTTCCTCTGCGTACGGATGAAATAATAATAATAATAATAATAATAATAATAATAATAATAATAATAATTATAATAATAATAATAATAATAATAATAATAATAACCATACTGATGATGTCACCACAAGCACTTGGAGAAGGAGTAGGAAGGTACCACACTATTGATTAACACCTGCTTGGTCTCTTTCCCAGTATATATTTTTTGAGTTATCACGATGCAAAACTAATGCATGAGTGAATCAGAACTGTACGTATATCGCGTGAAAACATGCGCTGAAGTAGTATGGAGTAGCCTACCGAACCCAATCTGTTCTTTTTTTTTATTATTATTATCCAGAAATGCAACGAACTGATGCAGCCTTTTTGCGGCAATGGCGTGAGTGACATGTTCTACCCGTACACGTGGAATGCTACGGCCGAACGAGAAAGGTGCGAGAAGAAGTTCGGCATTACGCCGGATTTCTACAGGACCATCATGATGTACGGAGGGAGCAAGTTCAGCACGGCGACGAACATCATCTTCAGGTAGGGTGGACGCAGATAGTTTGTTCAGAAAATAAAGTCACGCGTTGATGCTTGAAAATGTCCCGTTTCAAGCCTACTACAGAAAAACTTGAGAAGCAAACTAAATTTAAGAGTTAGCGTCAAACATTGCAACGAATAATATGGTTAATTGTTGAGGTTTGAAATCTCAATATGAGATTTGAAGTCTCAATATGAGACTTGAAGCACAATATGGTGATGAGAGGCGTCGCAGTGGAGGCCTTCGAAAACGTCGATCACCTGGCGTTCTTTAATGTGAACCTTAACTTAGTACACGGGCTTCAAGCGTTTTAGCCTGCATCGAAAATGTGGCCGCCACCACCGAGATTCGATCCCATGACCTGCGGGTCAGCAGTCAAGGACCATATACACTAAAACACCGCGGTGTGTACGTAACACTGCAGGAAAGAAACATAAAACTGGTGCTATATGGCAGAAATGAACTACCGTCTAACCACTACGACCATAATATGAGGTGAGGGGTTGTTGCGCAAGGAATATAAAAATGTAAAGCAATTATGTGAGCTAAGTTTTACATCTGATTTTTCACCGTTATGTGCAGAGGGATGGGGAGACTGTAGACAAAACAAAAACGCTGCAAAAATTGGATAATGAGAGCTGCTCACATGCATATTTATTAATCACTTTATAGCTATGTACACAACATCCATACGTACAAAATTAGTAAGACGTTTCAGAAAGGTTTAGCTTAACGGAAGTGGCTACTACATGCGTTGTCTCTCGACTTTTTTATTTTTTTTTTCAGCAACGGGGAGCTGGACCCTTGGTCAGCATTGGGCGTTCTGGAGCCTCCAAATGATGACGTCGTCGTGATCGTGATCCCCGGTGTGGCACATCACGTGGACCTACGCTTCGCTTCTCCGTCGGATTCGCGAGCCGTGAAGCGAGCCAGGGTCGTCGAGAAGAACTACATACGCCAGTGGATTTCCCAGGCTGATGCGCGGTCACAACGAAAGAAGAACGAGCCAAAGGAGCTTCGGGTTATCAATATGAAAAACGAGAACAGCTTCTTCAAGGCATACAGGGTTTAGGCCATACTCTTGAAACTTGCGACAAAGCATGGCATTTAACTCGGAAAGACTCAGGGAACGTTACACGGTCTATATGTCGTATAATTGAGGCGTTCTTTTTCTGAAATTGTCATGGATTCAGATGCCTACATCTGCGCCCATCGATATATAGCGAGCTTAATACGAACGCTCTGTAGCGTGTCATGAAACAGTTTGATTGACGCTATAGCGTCGCGTAGCTTTGATTTCCATTGGCCAGGTGTTACGCATGAATGCTGACATACTCTCCAAGTATACCAATCTCAGCAAGAGCCCCCAGCGCTTCGCGCCGGGCATCAGTCAAAGTAGTCCGGGTCACGCGTCGGAACGTTCAGTTAAGCTTTCGGACGACTGTATCTTTTAAGGGTCTGCGACCAGGTGCCACATTTTCCCTCGGCGCCCTCGACTTTAGCAGTGCCTGCCAGTGCTTTAAGCTCCGTTGCTAGCAAACGAGACTTCGTCATACCCTTAAATTTCAGGGAAGTTCACTGCTTTCGTGTTGTTGCTCTCTTTAACGAAAATTTCAAACGTCTTCGCTGGGCGATTTGACTGCCGTGACTGAGCGAGTACTTTTATGAGACAGCGCCATCTATTAAACTGTTCGGGAGATACTGCGGGTTTCGCCTGACGCGGAAGAAGGTTAGACTAAGAGGAGCTTTGTTCCAAAAAACTTCTGATTGGTCGATTTACGAGGCATATCTGCTTTAAATTCTCTCGTTTCCTGCATGCTTTGCCATGCAGTTGCATGCCCGTTCTGTTTTGTCTTGCACAGCCATCGCGTGCAATAAAACTGAATTCATTTCGTTTTCTGCGTTTTCGGCGGTGCTAGCGCAGGTAGCAGCGTGTTGCTGAAAAGTGAGAAATGCCGACTGGCTGAACACATAGAGTGCTGACATTTCATGTGCTGCATGAATAAATAAGCGGGGAGGAGTAGATAGCACTTCTAGGAAGGTCAGTGAAGGCGAGAAATAAACTGCTGTATTGACTTCGAAGTCATTGTGATTTAGGGGCCCTTCAAGGAATCCTTATCAGTTTTTGTGAACAGAACTATTACTATAATAGAGTTCTTGTTAAGACGAAGTGTACAAAACATATGGCTCCTGTAAAGTGACAGGTATGCCTTGGCTGCTGACTAGGCCCACAGATTGGGCGCGTCGGGAAATGTGGCAGTTTGGGCTATAGTTGGTATGACATGACGATATTTATAGTGCGAGAACAGAACGACGCGAAGGAGACAAGAAGGCGACGGGGACCTTGCCACTTGTATCGCCCGCAGCTGCCCGAACAAGTTTCGGCCGTGACGGAGATAAGTGACCCATCATCGCGGAAGAGGTGGTTCCACGTAAAGGCAATTACGTCGCGTGCCCATGTGTTGCCGCTCCCTTTTTGTTTCGCGCCATGTTGGCTGAATGTATGCATGTTTGTATTTCTTTTACGCAACTGTGCACAGCAGGGGTTTCTCGTGCAGTGGGTCAGTGGGTTACGACTTTGACGGCATCCAGATGGACCGCGCATGCGAAGAAAAAGAAGTATTGTCGTGCAGTAGAAGTGTTGCTCGCAGTTTATTTACACATTACCATTTTGATTTTATGAAACCAACGTTAATTAAACAGTGAGCGAGAATACGCACGTAATCGGCTAATAAAGATGGTAAACCACTGTTCAGAAAGTTACGGCAATGAGTGTCGAGAATAAGGAGTACGCTTCTTCTTCTACACAAATTAATTATGAAAAGAAAGCAAGCCTTGACATCAGAGGCTTAGCCAGAAGATAGTTATAGCGCGAGAACAGAACGACGACACAGAGACAAGAAGGACGGGAAGGACACTTGCGCTCGTGTCCTTCGTGTCCTTCTGGTCTCTTTGTCGTCGTTCTGTTCTCGCGCTATAACTATCGTCATGTCATACCAACTAGCCCAAGCTACCACACTATTAGGCAGAAGATTTCTTTTCGGAAGGGGGGGGGGGCGATGGGGAAGAGGAGAAAACGGGGGGTTCAATCACTCGTTATGTATGTAGTTGTGTTGTAAGTGCACAACAACAACAACAACAACAACAACAACAACAACAACAACAACAACAACAACAACAACAACAACAACAACAACAACAACAACAACAACAACAACAACAACAACAATAATAATAATAATAATAATAATAATAATAATAATAATAATAATAATAATAATAATAATAAACCTGCATTTGATTGTGAGGCACGCCGCAATGAAGGGCTCCGAAAATTTCGACCATTCTGGTCGAACTTTATTATTTTGGTGTTTTGTGACGTGCGCTAACATCGCACAGTACTCGAGCCTCCAGCATTTTGCCTTCATGAAAATGTGGCCACCGGTATCGAATCCGTGACCATCAGGTCAGCAGCCGAGCAGCGAACACATCGCAATACCTTCACGACGAACGTCTGTGTTTGTGCGCGCGCTAATATATATACATGCTAGATTTAAAAAAAAAAAATGTTCCGGTGAGTTTCACCCCGTTCTGTTAAATTAGTGCTTAACATCATCTATAGAGCACATCGACAGTATAAAAGCTGAAAACAAAACGCGTGTGCACGGTGCTTTTGAATAAATATTCTGGAAGTTGGCTTCAATGGCGAGACAGCTTTGTGATGAAACTAAGAATAAAGTGGATCATAAAAAGCGACAGATAAGAAAATAAACAAAATATCCTGCCGATTTACTTCATCCTTACATTATTCCTTCGTCCTCCACCCTCTATCTTTAAGCTTCGTCAAAAAAGTAACAAAAATTTTAAACCCCTGTAAGGCCACAAAATATGAAAAGGTAACGTAGTGGTAATACTTAATGAATTCCGTGTATCAGGACAACCTCAGTCGCGATAAGCAAAGCACTATAAGCAAATTGATTGATTGATTGAACATTTATTATTATTTGTCACATGAAGTTTACAAACACTGATTGGACCCACAGCCTGAGGCTAGTGTAGGGTCCAATGAAAAAAGTAATGGACAGAAGCAGGAAATATCAATTACACATAATACATATGTAGCTATACAGACACTGTAAATATACACATATACAGAGTAGAGAAGTCTTTCTCTTCTTAAACAATCTGGTCACACCAAACAAAACTGCATGTGCGCATACAAAAAGTTATGACAGATAACTTCGTGGACACACCCAAAAACATCAGTTAAAATACATAAAGAACATCAAACTATCACAAGTTTTACTTAGAAGGAAAAAATGCTAGGTTTAAAGATTCACCAGCGTATATTTATACAAATGTAAGTGCTTACCACCAAAGAGAAAAAGAAGCCTTTACAGCTTGCTCAAGAATTGATTTTTTAGTTTTACCGCAGCATTGTGTGATGTCTTCAATTCAGTGGGCAAACTATTACAGATCTTTATCCCTGTGAATTGCATTAATCTCTCACCATAAACGTTATTTCTTGGTGCCAAGTTAAAGTTACCGAACGTCAGGCTTCTAGTAGGGCGGGAAGAGGAATAAAATAACGAGACATCAAATGGGCTATTGTATTTTACGATACTGTTAACACAAACGGTCATCTTATAGTCACGCAAAAGATCGAAGGGTAGTATTTTTAGCGATCGGAATAACGGCCGGCTTGGCTCGTTGTACTTACTGTGAGTTATTATTCTTCCGTCCCCCAAATGTGTTGGGGGACGGAAGAAACAGGTCTCAGGTAGCAACAAGCATCTCGGGAAGCAAGGCAGGGATGGTATTTGACCCGAAGCAAAGAGCTACTCAACTGGAAAGGATGTTACGTTACTCGCTGCAGGCTCTGCGGCGCCACACACACATTACGTCTACGCCGAAGAGGTCACGCCATTTGTACAGCCGGCATCCAAATAGTAGCCTAGTCTTCCTGGCGTGTTGTAAGCGACCGTTCCACTGGTATAGCATGTGGCTCTTCGTCGGATCACTAACAGCGCTCGTTGTAGCGGAGATGGCGACAGCCGAGCACAAGTACAGGGTTGCATACTTCAAGCAAAAGGTAAGCGGTTCTTGCGAATCTATCTGACATGAAGCGGAGGGTATGCTTGATCGGTGCGGTTGCAGAACGGTAGCCTTGAGGATACACGAAAGTATATGCGTACGCACACGGAGGAAGAGGGGGGCCTGGCTAGACTATGGGTCTGGTGTACATTGTGCTCGCACGAGTTAAAGATAAGCGCGCAGCGTTAAAACGAAACCATGGCTTCACCGACCACAAGACTAATATTTTTTTCGGAACTTTTATACTTTTTCCTAATGGCCAAGTGAAAAATGAGTAGCCATTTTCAAGAAATGATGAAAATACTTCATTTAGCTTTATTGCAATGATGAAAAACGCAAATAATGCCGTTAATTTACCAGAACAATAGATAGATAGATAGATAGATAGATAGATAGATAGATAGATAGATAGATAGATAGATAGATAGATAGATAGATAGATAGATAGATAGATACGTGGGGTTTAACGTTCAAAAACCACTATATTAACATGAGAGACGCTATAGTGGACGGCTCCGCAAATTCAGACCACCTAGGATTCTTTCACTTGCGCCCAAATCTGAGCACACGGGCCTACACCATTTCCGCCTCCGTCTGAAATGCAGCCGCCACAGCCGGGATTCGATCCCGCAACCTGTGGGTCAGCAGCCGAGTACCTTAGCCACCAGACCACCGCGGCGGGGCCCGTTCAATAAAATACAGTCGCGAGTCTGCAACCGTCCTCGTACACTTGCTTGTCCGCGTTTCCCCGTGGGTTTCGAACAAATACTCGACGATTCGGAGCACGATGTACTGTATTGTAGAAGAGCAACAAGCTGTCTAACTTTCAGGGGCGCGGCGTCTTAAGGCGTGGTAGGCTTGTGTGCCGTAGTGGTCTGTCGTAGCCACCCCCAGTACGCGAAATGTTCACTAGAACGCATTCGCATTGTGCTAGATGTTGCGATAAACAGACACACAGGCAGACAGACGGACGGATGCTTCGCCCAACTCATCATCATTCAATCCGTGGATATGTTGTGTGTGTGTGTGTTTAGAAAAAGTGTTTACCAATTTAAAGTACTTCGTATTCAACAATGGGAGAGCAGTATAAGCTGTCCCGACTATATTAGAGGCTATAGAAGCGCGGCTCTTTGACCCTTCGCTCCTCTTCGTGTGTTTAGAAAAAAAAAAATGGCAGCATATCCACGGAGTGAATGATGGAGAGTGGGGCGAAGAATTCGTCCGTCCATTCGTTCTTGCTTCCGTCCATCCATGCGTCCGTCAGTGTGACCGTCCATGCGTCCATCAGCCCGTCCGTGCGTGCGTCTGTTCGTGCGTCCGTCCCTGCGTTCGTCCATGCAGCCGCCCCTGCGTCCGTTCATGCGTCCATCCATGCATCTGTCTATGTGTCCACCAAGTACCACCATCTCGCATCTTTTCATCATATATTCCCCATATAGAAGCACCGCCATCCACCGGACATTCCAAGGACTAAACGAAAGGTGGCACACGCACACTTTCTTACGGCTTGTGCTTCGGGTCCACTTACCACCTTTAACCACCTCGAGCTCATGGTATATACTAGTTCACTGTATTTATGGCACTGCGGCCGAACGCTCGCTAAACCTTTCGAAAACCAAGGAGGATACGCCCAGCGAGTATGACGTAGCAAACTTTTTCAGTCAGATAGTGCTCAATGTACATGCCAATGGCTGCTAATGGGAAATGAGAGGCGGAGAATTCGGCTTTTGCTTTCTTACGGCTTGCGCTTCGTATCTACTTCCCATTTTTAACCACCTCGAGTTCATTCATGGTATATACAAGTGCACTGTATTCATAGCACTGCGGCTCAACGCTCGCTAAACCTTTCTAAAGCTAAGGAGGTTACACCCAGCGAGTATAACGTAGCAACTCTTTCTTGTCAGATAGTGCTCAATGTACATGCCAATGGCTGCTAATGGTGATCGCAGCCTGCGCGTTAACTAAAAGCCGAATGCCCCTGTCTCTCATTCCCCATTAGCAGCCATTGACATGTACATTGAGCACTATTTTTTATTGTTCAACAACGCACAGAAGAAGTCTCTCACCGGCACCAGCTTGGAAGTTAAAATGTTATACTTGTTACATACTATGGGGGACGAACGGGTGTCGCTATAAATGGAGCTTCGCCCCTAAAAGTGGTTGACGATTTAGTGTACAAGTCACTCTACTACGGGAGAGCTCAAAGCTGTTCCGTGGCAATATTCTAGGGTGTAAAGCACCGGCACATTAAAGACAGCACTTTGATGTGAATTTAATGTTGAGATGTGCATTTGTGTCTCTGGTTTTAAATAACAAAATTAGGCTTCTTTGTTAAGTTTTATCAGACATTCTGTCACGATGGCTGAGCCAAGCATAATGTTTTAAGCCAGCAACGACTAACCTTTATCTCATAATATATATGGTATGGGTTGGTGGCGAGTTGTGGAATTTAACCAATTTTTGTAGCGCATACGCGTTCATTATGGACTGGTACAATGACATTCAAGCCGAGTCCCTAAGGTATTTGTACCTTAATAAGGTTTTTAGGAGCAAAGTTCCTCTTAGTGTAACTTTGTCCCACATCAGGCGATCAGGCGTAACCATCAGTATCTCCCGATTAGTATAAAAATGGCGCTGTGTCATAGAAGTACATACAAATTTGAGTTGAGTGAGGATATTCTATATTGAGCTGTACTGCTACTCTCTGATTGGCTGCTGCGCGAGCTGTGCCTGGGTGCGCGGGAAACGAGTGCCTCCCCCCCCCCCCCGTATTCACAAACGCTAACGCTCCTCGACCCGACTTTCACTCTTCACTTGACAGAGTTGAGCACTGCGCCGCTGCTCGGTTGAAAATGACGCTGTACTACTGAAGAATCCCAGCAGCTTATCGCTGATACCCAGTGACTTGCCGTGCCTAGAGACGGCGCTCCCATCAGCTTTCTCAAGTGAAGGTGAACCGTTGAGTGAAGGGACGTTCTAGAATACGGGGCTCAGTTTCTGGGATCGTCGTCGTACGTGTCGGATCGTTGGTGGGGCATGGACGAAGAGGAGCAGCGGGCGCAGAAGGCCTCGGTGGCTCGTGCTCGTTGCCAGACAGAAAAAGAGACAGACACACATACAGACAGATAGACAGACGTGCGGAAGGACAGATGGACGCTTTGCTCCCCTCATTATCATTGACTCCGTGTATATGCTGTTAATTCTTCGTCTTTCCCTTTAAGAGGCTCACGTAACGACGAAAAACACACACGAAGTTACGGCGTTATTATCCTGTGTGTTGGCCTGCTCAATAAGTTTCTTCAAGTTAACTAGAGGGGCTCTGGCGCTGTGATAGTTCAGCTACCATCGGAATTATGGGCTATACATGAATTCGCCTTGTCTTCATGCTTGCTTGCGGCGACCGCACTTGGCGTTTTGTTTACTGCAGTGTTTTGGTTTTGTTTCGCATAAAAGGACACACCGTTCTGAACTTCATAACGAAATTTAAGCAGGTGAGCCTAAAAGATTAGCGTGGCGAAGCGTCACTGATAAGCAGCCTCAAGCCACGTCAACTGAGACGGAAAGCAAAGTATGAAGACTATATAGGCAAATCCATGCACTGTACACCCATGATTTCCATGCTCGCTGAGGCGCCTTGCGTTTCAACTTCCATAGACTGGCACACCTCTAGTGTACTTATAGTAAACTCTATAGGTCTGGTTGAATTTTCCACTATGTACTCGCGTTTAAACCTCCACTGGAGCTGCTGTAATTCACTAACAAATAGGTTGGCGGACAAGCAAACTTTTATTACAGCACATTGATTATGTATAAACTAAAGCACGCGACTTGCACTATTTTCAGAGTCACACCTGCCGATGAATTATCCCGGATACATCATCCCTTGCACATAAGCGATATGAATGCACCATCATTATTCGGTTGCTTTTTACACGATTTGCAGTGATGGTACCACAAGAATTTCAGTGAGGTAGATCAACTATGTGTTTTCGTGGAAGAAATTTATGGAAAACCTACCTAAATTGAACAAAATTTTAAACTTTCTATGATAGAATTTGCTATGACAGAAGTGCAGTTTTTAGAGCGGTTTGTTTTTTTTAGTTATACGTAACTAAATGAATCCAACAGACAGTTAAGCTGTAGAAAGCACAGGGGACAGTATTTGTTGCGTTACAGCGAAAACCATTATGACATCACAACAGCCGATTTCAGCGGCGTAGTGGTAAGTCGCAGGCGCAGCGAGTGTCTGTAACGGCGATCGCACAAAGTCAGACAGAAAATGAGAATCGAAAAAAAAAGAAGATATCCAGAATAGCATGGGATTAGAACATGGGCCCTCTGAGTGGCATTGAAGTGTTACATCACAGAGCCACGTTGACACTTGAAGCTTCTTCGCAAGACAACCGTAAACGCGTCATGTACAGGCGTCATGTTTGGCAAAGAATCACGTTAATATATGAAATCTAACGCGGCCTAATAAAATAAAAACCAGAGGCCACACAATGTGAACAGAGATAGGGTAAAAAGTAAAGCATAGCATAATTGAATGAGAAAGAAAGAAATGGGAAGAAACAGCTTCATAAACAAAAAGATCGAGAAAAGAACGCGAGAGAAATAGAGTAAGAGATAGAGAGATAAAAGAATAGGAAGAAGGGTGAAGCAAGAAATAGAGACAGAGTGGAAGAGGAATGAATAAAAGAGAAAGAAAGAAAGAAAGAAAAACAATCAAGAGAGAGAAACAAATAGATAATAACAGAAAGAAATATATTGCGAAAAACCAAGCGCGAAGAAAAAAAAGAAGAAAATCACAAACCTTAGCAAGACCTGGAAAAACAGAACTACCAAAAGTATCTCGTCCGCTGCCTGTTTAGCAGTGCGCCTCACGTGCAAAATACGCATTTTTTTTTAATCCTCAAAACGACAATTTGGCGCTTCACACTGCCTATATATGCACGTCTCTTTGCTCTCTCAGACGTACTGTTATCGTACGGTACTTTTTCGTGACTACCGCTCCACACATTCATTAAATAATTGCTTTTGTGCAAATGTGAACTAAGAAGGCTCATATTAGAAACTGAACAGATGTCTGCACTCGGAAATAGGCAAGCAAGCCGTGGTTGGCACTATCAAATGGAGAATTAGAATGTCGGCCCATGTCCTATATATCACTGCATCTTTTCGCTTTTTTTTAACATGATGACGTGGCTGCGATTCGTGAGTTGAGTGCATAAGTGCACTCCGGGTTTCCGGAACAAGCCATTGCTAGAAGTTCGTGCCCTGTGTGTTCATGCGTGCTTGCATTTGTCTTCTATAATATTTACGCTGCATGGAAATTCAATGAAGATGTGTTAACAGGAAGCCCGCATATTGCGTTTCTCGTCAATGAGAAAGCCTGAACTTGGCAACAAACTCCTTTGGGAAAATCTTGAAGTTGGTCAACACATTTTATGCCTTGCAGGACTGTCTTAACTATCAGTGTTTCTTGTCTAGGTGGATCATTTCAGCTTCAGCAACAGGGACTCATTTCGTCAACGTTACTTAATATACGAGGACCACTGGAACAAGAATGGGGGTCCCATCTTTTTCTGCACTGGAAGCGAAATGAACGTCGAAGTCCTTGCCAACCAAATGGTAAGGGGCGCCTTTATGTTCGTGAAAGAAATTATAGTTATGAATAATCCTTAAATACAGAATTATTGTATTATCCGAAGCCAGGAGCATCCCCTGCTAAATAGTCAGTTTGCTTTAAAATAAATATTTTTTGAAATGAGATGGCAGAAGTGCTAATCGCTAGTCGTAAAAAAAAAAACATCGGAATCCTCTCAGCTGCTAAGTTTAAGTTTGGAGGCGCCACTGTCTAAAAGTCGTCTCTATGACTATGTGGCATTCGCCTTTTAAATCAAGTCAAACAATTTTATGTGTTATTTAAGAAAACCTGGGGCGTATGACAGTCGATATGCAACATATGTTCCTTACTATAAATTTACTGCCGAACAAGTAAATCTGCGAATTCATATAATTACCTACACGCATTTAAGGCGCATTGCCTGTGAAAAGGCGCGAGATTTATCACGAAGCTCATGCATCTTTACTTCACACACTACTGTAAGTTGCTTTCAGTGATTGCTTTGTTTCTTTGCAGGGAATAATGTACGACTGGGCGGTGGACTTCAAGGCTATGCTGGTATTCGCGGAACACCGCTATTACGGTGACTCGCTGCCCTACAGAGAGCGGTCATTCAGTGTAAGTCAATCGGTGGCTTTTTTATAACGACCGATGGCTGGATCAGCCCACTTCGTTCACACGAATCATTGTATGACCAAACCAGAGGACGGGTCAAATCGTTTTAAATTTCTCTTGGGGTTTGACTAATTCAATACAGTCAGACTAACCGTATTTCACACATTTTATCTAGTCGCCACTTTTATCAATTGTCCATGAGAAGAATGGTACAGATATAGTATAAATAGACTAATAAAACTGTCTCCATAAATGAATTCCAGGTAAAAAGAATAGTACGTCAGACGTAGTGTCATAGTGTATCCATTTGCTCCACATGAACGCGTAATTTTGGGTACTATTTTATATTTGCAGTTTTTTTCCCAATTATATCGCGAGAGTCTGGACTATACTTCGAGAGAAGTTGATTAATGCGGAAGCTACAAGCGATTTCGTTTTGTAGCCCTTCATTCCGTTCATTTAATGTGTTGGTCACAGTCCAGGGACAGGCGAGGTTACCTGACGACGGAGCAAGCACTGGCCGATTTTGCCTACCTGATACAGCACATCAAGAAGCACGCTCCGGGCGCCGACAAGAGCATGGTGGTGACCTTCGGGGGAGGATACGGAGGAATGTTGGCTGCCTGGATGCGCGTCCGCTACCCACACCTCGTCAAAGGGTGACTGGACAATTCTTTAGCTGCGCTTGCATATCCCTGCAAAAAAAGAAGGTTTGAACTTCATGCGCATGAGTGCGTTTTTGTGAAAGCATCTGATTTATTGGCGATCATCGTGTTCAGCATTGCACCAATCAATCAATCAATCAATCAATCAATCAATCAATCAATCAATCAATCAATCAATCAATCAATCAATCAATCAATCAATCAATCAAATCGAAAATGCTTTAACTCAACATTTAAACAAGTCTTATTTGCAACGTCACATTGTGAGTCTGATTTGCCATGGCAGATGCCATGGTCCCGCGAAAATTACAGCATCTCCCACTAAAGAGAACTGTGTGGGAATACCAAGTAGGGTTGGTGTTCACTTGTGTTTCCATTTGTATGTTTCCTGCACGTCTCATTTGTGTGTCGAGTTGTGGATATGTTGTGAACCGCTTATATTACCCCACCTACCGCTCCTTTCCATTACCACTGTCATGAGTGTGCCGCAAAGTGAACACCCAGCGCTGCTGGGAGAGTGCAACAGAGCGAGCGAGCGCAGCACTATTCCGAGCGCTCAGCTGTTGCGGGGAGATAAAAGGAAGAGGAGAAACGAAGTGGAGGCACGGCTATGCCCCTTCCTCCACTTCAACCTCCTTCCACCACCATGCGCTCACGCGAGAGAATGGGGGAGAGCTGGCGCATATGCAGTGGGAGAGCGGATGGTCGCCGAGGGACGGACACAGGCCCGAACAAAACTTGCTCCGTATCTAAAAGTGGTAGCATGGTTACCTGACTAAAGCATCATATAAATCGTGCCACTGAAGAACAGCACATACCTTTTTTTTTTCTGTAGAGAGGAATGAGCAGCAGTAATGACTGATTAAATAATGTAATCGCGTTGATGATTATGACGCTCCAATCAACCGAAACTTATGAAACATGGTCTCACTTCAAGTCGAGAGAAAGAGATAATTCAAGGATTTTGTGCCTTGTGATGCCATCCCTTGCGCAGAGCCTACGCCTCAAGTGCGCCCATCGCCTACTACAGCGGCGAGGTTGCGTGCGACAAGTTTCCACGTGCCATCACCGACAGCTACAAGAGCCAGTCGCAAAACTGCGCTGCTAGCATCCGCAGGTCGTGGGCCATCATGGACAAAATGGCGGCTACAGGTGAGCCTAGAAAGTTGGGCTGGTTGTTTAGGGTAACTACGAACTAACGTTATGATGTACATATGCAAATAACTTCCTGTTATGAATGAGAATAGTAACGGTCGACGACAATGTCGAAACAAACATGCCCCGTTTACAAAATAAAATCGAGCAGAATGTTTTAGCCAACGCAGTGCGATAACTCAGCCCATGCCAAGCAATTCAAGTCTTTTTCATGGCTAATCAGATGTTACTGTGGCTTACACTAAATATATATGAGAAAGTCTGTCAAAGACACTTCATCTGTAAAAGAGGATGGACCGATGTTCATACATATTATCAATATTTCTTTTTTTGAGTGAATTGGTTCATTATGAAGCAAGGCAGTACCAACGTGGTCAGACACCCACGAGACGCTCATCGCTTGTGTGTACGTCTCGTTTCTCTCGTAGGTGTCTACGCTAGTACATCCATGCTCCATTCAGATGCACGTTCATGAAAGTCACACATTTACGTGTAAGGAAACAACCTTGCCTGCACTGGCCAGTGGTCACGTATATGGGCTGTTACAATGTGTATTAAATGCTATCTTGTTCCGCCCAGACGATGGACTGCAGTTCCTCACTGAGGCGTTCCACTCGTGTCAGCGACTGACCCCGGACAGCATCCCGCACTTGTACCAGTGGCTGAAGGAGGCCTACCAGACGATGGCCATGCTCGACTACCCCTACGACACAGAGCTGTTTGGGAAGCTGCCGGCGCATCCGGTCAAGGCAAGGGACTAACCATTATGCACATACAGATGCCCAATACGCACAGGAAATGATCGTAAGGGAGTTACACATTCACATGACTGCCACGTCGTCGTATTATGGAACAATTAAAGCTACGTTACTATGTACTAATGCGAGAGCCATGCCTCCTGAAGCGCCATTGTTTGAAGACCATGAATCACTAGTGAGCAAATCAATGCACGCAAGGTGTATTTTCAAGGCGTAGTCCGCAGAATTCTTCCGATCGATCAAATGGAAGAGCAAAAGAAGGAAAGGTTAGGAAGTCAGCCAGCAACACGTTTTTCTCACCTTGGAGAAATTAATGATCGCGACTAAAAAAATATTTCACTAAACACTGCCGGGTTTATTTTGTTGCTCCCAAGTGACACTTCAAATAAATAGGTAAGTTTACGATATCTTCTAGGACAATAAAAAATTCCCCGACTGCTTGAACAACAACAACAACAACAACAACAACAACAACAACAACAACAACAACAACAACAACAACAACAACAACAACAACAACAACAACAACAACAACAACAACAACAACAACAACAACAACAACAGACATGCGTGGGCTTTGCTACAATACCCTAGCGTAAAATAATTGAGGGACGACAAGAAGAAAGATGAGGGAGCAATGTTTCACCAAAGTAGAACGTGAGTGCATGTCCATAGCGTGCCTATAATTGATCCCTTAGCATGGCATGCTTCGTAAACAGTAGCAATGCCTGCGTCGCTATGCTGGCCTGCGACGCTATTGAAAAGCTGACGTGCCTTGCAGGAAGCCTGTCGGTTCCTGTGGAACCCATTACAAACGGGCGAAGATCTCGTGCGAAGTCTCCACAAAGCAGCCTCCGTCCTCTACAACAGCTCCGGAAACGCTGCCTGCTACAGCATCGACGGTAACATCGGAGTTCACGCGGGCTGGCTGTTCCAGGTACTCTTCGAGTTTTTCAGAACGTGACTAATGAATGTCACGTAAACTTAAATAGGTAATGTTTTATTCGAGCGATTGTTATCTATTGAGATACAAAAAACGAGCATATTGTTGACGCATCCCTTTGCACCATATCTCTAACCTTGAATATCGAGTACCCTGAACACATGCGTCAAGAAATGGTGGAGGATTTCACGGAATATAAAGAAGGCTCGCGTTTCCTGCTAGTGTTTCGTTTTACCATTTAGATGTTCTTCCTAACTAAATCAGCGAACTGAATAGCCCGCCTGCAGGCAGTTCTTTGATTAAAGATATCGGCTGCGATGGAATAAGCGTTACCAAAATGATGACAGCCGGAAGTATCAGCGCAATCGGTTCTTTTTGGGGCCCGTGCTGACATCTTTTGGCACCGGTGATTAGGATTAATGCGAAACATATGCAATATTTTGAAGCTAAAACTGTGAACTGGAAAAAATTGTCGTTCATGTCTACAGCGATTGGTGTAGTTCCTGCACTAAATCTTGCTCTAAATGCTGCGCCACTGCTATGATGCCTGAGGAAATGCGAAGCCTGGGCAACTAGCGATTCCCGTTCGTAGAACTCCTACTGTTGCGTTTACCAAACCGTCGATGCCGTCAATGTTTTGGGTAAGCATGGAGGATTTCCATAGTGCGAACGGAATCTCCTTAATGAGATTCGCAAACTTGGTGTGCAGCATGCGTGCTACTTCTTGCAGTGCTTTATCGACTTCTATCTTGTCAACGCGGTTTAGATTGAATTGGCCTGCAGCGAGTTCCATGAGGTTGTTTCCCTTGTAAAAGTGTGTTTTAAAAGTGGGTAACAATTTAGAGTACTAGGTACAATACTATGGGAGAGCATAAAGCCGTCCCTTGGGCATGGTTATTTTGGTGGCGCTGGCGGCGTCAATGTACGACGAATGTGCCACAGAGCAAGGTGCAAGGAGCAATCGTGTTTTTGGCGAGGCGCCACCACTTGCGTGGCACGGGAGTCTGGTGCATGCATGCTTCTGAACCATTTTTAACAATATTTAGTTTATAGTTGCGATTACTTCTTGGTTATGTCCGTTAAGTAAACTATTTTAGACATCGGTCGTACCTTTTACCTGGTTTTGAACATAGCTAGACTCGTTTTGATTTTGAGCATGATCACGGCATATGAAATAGATGCACGAATGACAAAGCGAGCCTCTAAAGTGTTGCCCACTTAGAAGCTAGTTCGACAACTGCCCATCTGATAGTAGTATTCGGTAGTCATTCCTACACTGTGAGTATGGCCTTCCGTGCTTTGTACCTTTCAGGGCACTTCGTTACTCGCTGTATCCGGCAATTTGAGTGATAATAATAACTAAAGTTGAATTATATCTGAAAATTCAATGCGTGGTTCGCATCTTACGAGCCACCTAAATGTAACGACTGCTCTACTTCACGTTTTCATACGCAATAGCAATAATAGTGCTATCTAACAGTTTGACGCTCACACAAGTGGTGCATCTGTAAAATGTGTTCGATGCTCAGAGAAGTTGTGCATCCATGAAATGTGTTTGATGCTCGCACAAATGGTGCATCCATGAAATGTGCTCCTCCTCGGGAGACGCTCAGCGGATTTCACGACTGACGGTTGTCCCGTCCAAGATGTACCCTCTTGGAGGACCACTCGCCGATAGGGGCCTCATCGTCGAACTTTTTTAAGTCTCCCATCTTTGCTCTCCTTCCAATCTCTTCTATTCTTCCTTATTCGTTCTCTCGTTAGACCACTGCTGAGGTGTCTCGTTTTGCTGCAGAGAGTTGTTGGGCTCACTTTATTCTTCATTTACTTTCTTATAATCACCCTCCCTACCCTCTCCTTTAGACGTGCACGGAACTGGTGATGCCAGAGTGCACCAACGGCGCGGAAGACATGTTCAAAGCCAAGAAGTGGGATGTCCGCAAGCACGCCAAGAGGTGTCAGCAGCGCTTCGGAGTGACGCCTGATCCTGGAAGACTGAAGGTGCTCTACGGCGGCAGCGATTTTCAGGGCGTCTCCAACGTAATATTCACGTGAGTTTTGCACGGACCTGCAAGCCACATTGTTTGCGCAGTTTTTGTTGAATACCGTGGACTCGTGTCGTACGATTCCGCGTGATAAGTTTTTTTTTTCCTTCACAACGTACCTGGAAAATATTGTGTTTCCATGCATTTACAACGATCACATTTTTCACCTTAAGTTGGATAATAAGACAGCGAAAATGGCTGCTGAGCGATTTATATCATACGTTTGTATTTCGGTATACTAGCTCAAACCACGCTTCGAAAAGCCAGGATTTGTACGTTGCAGAGCCACTGAGAGCTCGATGATGATGATTGATTTGATATGTGGGGTTTAACGTCCCAAAACCACTATATGATTATGAGAGACGCCGTAGTGGAGGGCTCCGGAAATTTAGACCACCTGGGGTTCTTTAACGTGCACCCAAATCTGAGTACACGGGCCTACAACATTTCCGCCTCCATCGGAAATGCAGCCGCCGCAGCCGGGATTTGAACCCGCGACCTGCGGGTCAGCAGCCGAGTACCTTAGCCACTAGACCACCGCGGCGGGGCCACTGAGAGCTCCACTTTACTAAGAACACAAGAGGCCAACCATATAAGATGGCCTCATATTCTAACACGCAAAATATTTGCAGGTTTTACATACGATTCGTGTGCCATTGTGTACCTACGCACCATAAACTCCGAATGCATGTGTTCAGGTTTCAACCTCCCAAGAGCCGCTCAGTGATATAGGAAAGAAATACATGCAGAGTGTGCTCTTCGTAATATTTGAATGGGCACAAGTTTAGGGATTGAAGTGTTTACACTTTTATTGCTCTCTTTGATAACTGGGTTATCAACATACCTCATATTCATGCTGTATGCTTGTGCGTAAAAAAAAATTATCTGTACGAAACCTACTCGCATTGTGACCCCGCTGTATGTAAGTACTGCACAATGCCTTAAGACTGCGCTGATACTGCATATGCCACGTATTTTATATGGGCATTGTGCCTCTGATTATTATTTTTATTTTCCGATTTTTCGCTTCATCCTTTTCTGTTTCTCTTCTATTTGTGTGTTGCCGCAAGACCATACTATCATGTTAACGGGATAGCTGGTTCTAACGTAGCCAGCATCTCAATATTTTTTTTTATATGTAAATATGTAGTTAAAAAATATATCGGGCGTACGCGAGGCCTGATAAAACAAGAGCGCCTAGGGGATATCGATGTTTCATTAAGTTAACACGTTTTGTATAGCGAACAGACCAGTCCTGTAGCCAAAAGTGGTGCCCTTCTTCCCACTCCTCGAAATTGGAATGGAAGATCATGTTTTACAAAAAAAAAAAATTTTGTAAAATTACGGGTTTTCCAGATTTTTAAACGCCCCCCCCCCCCCCAGGAGAAAAATCACAGGCTATGCGTCTGAACAGACATAGAGTAAACACACACGTTTATCTTAAAAAAAAAGAAAAAAAAAAGGAATGTCAAAAAATCTTGAACGCAATGTGCTGTGTTGGACAAAATGTGAGAGGCAAAAGAGAGGTAGTACAGGGTTCATAGTACGTTCGAGTCCCCTCTGAAATGTGCTCTGTGCCACAGAGTATAATAAATAAATAAATAAATAAATAAATAAATAAATAAATAAATAAATAAATAAATAAATAAATAAATAAATAAATAAATAAATAAATAAATAAATACAGGGCCGCCATCGTCCTACATTGGCATGCAATAAATGGCGTTTTGTTGCTCAGCTCATAAGTCACCTGGGAGTCCTGGCCGTAGCGGCGTTATATCTTTTGAGATGTCACTAAACAGTACTCATTTATTCATCCATATATTATGCCATATATTATCCACCTTTAGAAAGTGCGCTCCTTGGTAAAGCCAGGTTGAGATACTCAGCTTGGCTGTACTCAGGGTACTCAGGTGCTGACCCGCAGGTCGCGGGATCGAATCCCGGCTTCGGCGGCTGCATTTTGTATGAACTCCAAAATGCTCTATGCTCATGTGCTCCGATTTGGGTGGACGTTAAACAACCCCAGGTGGGCCAAATTTCAAGAGTCCTCCACTACGGCGTCTCTCACAATCATATGCTGGTTTTTAGATGTTAAACTCTACATATCATCATCATCATCATCATCATCATCATCATCATAAATATAAAAAAAAAACAAAGTTGGGAAAACAATGAAACTCCCCACTGTAGATTTTGAGAGAACCTTACTGAAGAACTAGATAAACCGTTCGATGTCGTCTTTAAAGATATAGATACTCACTCGTTACATATAAAAATAAACTACACAATTAACTTGTGTTCACATGAAACCAAGCAGCTTTGAAGCAATTCTAACCTTTAGACACCTGCTAAAATATCTGTTATCATACGATCAACAAACAATTTTTATGCAATAACCACATGAAATATAAAGGTTTTGTGCAGACATATATAGATGTACATGCATAGATATTGTACAGAAAACATAGGCAGGAATCCATGGCACATAAGTAATACCATATGAATGTGTAGGTGTATTTTGCGAGAATACGAAATTCGTGCATGTTATTTGGACAGACTCATGCGGTTATGCAGAAAATATGAAAAGCGTGATATAGAACACATGGAAGGCGCATGGCCGTTCGGTTGCAATGAACGGAACCCGTACTACCTTTTTACATCTTTCAGAAAAACGTCCACATTATGAGATGCTAGGGGACCATAACACGGCTAAATTTGAGACTGTACATTGTATTAGGCTTACTTACTAGTTTAATAATACCTAGCATCATGTTTGATCAATCTACGTGCTCAAAGATTCTGAAAACATGCAGAAACAACCTGCGGGACCCGTGGTACTATGGCGGCGTCCTGTCGGGCCCGGAGTCCACGACATCCATTGTGGTGCGGAACGCCGCCCACCTGCTGGACCTGAGAAAGCCTAACGACCTGGACCCCGTGTCGGTTGCCTGGGCGAGGACTCGGGCCAAGGGAACGCTGTGGAGGTGGCTCGCACCGAAGCTCAACTTCTTTGGATAGAGCCACTACCCGAGGTGGACTGTTGCCGAGTATTTATGTAGTGACACTCCAGCTTTGTACAGAAAGTTCACCAGCTCTTCTGAAACGCTGGACGGCCAGACAATCATCCATCCAAGTACAGCCCGAACCTATACAGAGGCTTACACGCGTCGAATAATCAGGCGCCGCACCAAGAAGAACAGAGGTAAAGAAGGGACAGAACACTAGAGCTTTCTTACAACTACTTTTATTAGCGCAGGAACCCGTGTCTATACCATGTGAACGCACTCCAATCACGCCCATTAGAAGATAGTTTAGAAGGGTGGACGAATGCAGAAGAACGGGTAGACAGGTCATGAAACTATTACAAAAATTCTCTGTCATACAGAAACTTACTGTCGTATGCAGATCTTGAGAAATGTAGTGTTCTAGCTCCCCCCACCTTCTTTCCCGAATTTAGATAATAAGCTGAACACTTGACGATAGAAGAAGCAATATTTTTTTCTTCGCGTATCAAACATGTCACAAACACATTTTCGGAGCATTCGCGAGCTGAGTAAAAGGCCACAGAATGTAAAGGGAACCTAACAAAGTTAACAACTCAATGCAGTCGAATGCTGAATATTTGAAGCCAGTCATGGCGAAGCCGGCAGATGCACGGAATATGATGGTCGTGTGATCGTTTGATGAAACCGACTGCCCTGGATTGATGCTCTGCGCTAGAGGGATTTTGTAACCTGTTGAAGAAAAAAATTTCTGATGGGTTCGTATATGTTTGTAGTACTCGCATTACTTGAGTGTGAATCAAGCTTGTTCGATCGTCTTGATTCATACACGGCGCCGACGTGAAGATGTTTTGTCACAGTAGTCTCGCAACCTTCATTATTGCTATTATCCCAAACGTCGTCATTGTCTGGAACAAGAAAAACTCTCAAATATTGTAATTGTCAACATTTTTGATACTGCTTGAGCAGGGAAGAGTAGTTCCGTGAGAAGTACTCGCGTAAGTACATGGCGAATGCCCTAGCCCGTTGCCCCCTAAAACTTGATAAAGGGGGTGTTTTGCCGAAAATAAATAATGAAAATAGGCAATTTTATGAAATACTCAAGGCCATCAGCAAGCTCTTTTATGTATGTCTTGAGTATATTAGCCTTTATCAAGGCACTGAATGAAATTATTTAAAATTCCCCCCAAGATAATATTACTGGCTGCGGGCCTAAATTATGGTCACGTCACCGGCGAAGAAACGTCACACGTAGTTTCATTCGCAGAACGGCACGCCTCTACCAATAAAGTTATGAAGCGGGGAAACTTGGGAAGTTGGTTGGACATAACTGAAAGTACAAACAGCACAACCTATGGAAATGGTTACAGCGTAACTACGGAAGTAAAAAAAAACAAGGATAGAAAAAAGCGCTACCACCACAGTTGTAGGGAACGGCTGAAACAGCTTCACGAATACCCAGCAAACCTGGTACACTGAATGAGCGCTGGACGACGACCACAACACAACGCTCGTACAGCGCACCATTTTTCGTGCGTATTCACCAGATGAGTGAGAATGTCTTCAAACGTGACGTTCTTGCACATGCCACGGGGCCACCATGTGCCGAGGTGCAAATAGACTCGCCAGTTTCAGAACACCTTCCTGCTATAAATAAAAAGCGCTTAGGTGGATGAGGCGCAGCATAGACGAAACCTTATTAAAAACCACAGTTCAGGCAGATTTATTTTAACAAAAAAAGAAAAACCTAGACAAGGCCGGTTGCCTATCCTGCGGGCGACAAATGATTATGCAAACGAATATATGAAGACTTCATTCATGCCAGCGCTCTGTGAAGTCACACTACGTCAGCCACGCCAGTTGTACGAGGAAAACTAGCAAATATATTTATAACTTGGTGCGTGTTAGAGTACTGCATGCCACACTTAATTATAATGTCTGGGGATATATGTCCCGAAACCACCATATAATTTTGAGACACGCCGCAGTAGAGGGCTCCGGAAATTTTGACCGTTTGGTATTATTTATTGCGCCAGTGACATAACACAGTACATGAGCCTCTACCACTTCACCTCAATCGAAATGCGACCACTGCAACCGGGATCGAACTCGTGACCTTTGGGTCAGCAGACCAGCACAGTATAGCCACTGTTCCACCGAAGCAGAGATGTTCGCTGGTTGGTTGTTCCTTAGCAACCTGACGCAACCCTCCATGGAGATCGGCCATGAAACGGACGGTACGTTGCTTTAGAGATACTATTGTTTTACAATTCGAATGCCTCTTAGGAATGGGTGTTTTAAATTCACTGGCACAATCACTATTTAAAAAATCACGAAAAATATAAAAATAAAAATAAATAGATATAATAACTAGCCACTAGGTTGTAACGGTGTATTTGTACATAAATTCGACATTTTCTATGCCGCACTTGAACACTTATTAATATTTATGCTTACAGAGGCACCGCGAATGACAGGTAAGATGAAAAAAAAAATCTTGACTCGAACGGTGGCAGTTCTTTTTGTGGACCATATCACTTCTTTGTTTTTGGTAGTTTTTTCGTATCTTTTGGCGTTGTTTATTGCTTAAGAATAAATGGACAACATGGTTGTACCTTATTCCCCCGGTCAGCCACGTAGTGAGTATTCTCTAAAAAAATAATAAGTGGGGATGAATTAATATTTGTAACTTCACATCTTAAATTTATTTACGCATGCTTTCACCCACACTCTGACGATAATTCTCAAGTTTACGAAATTAGTTTCAATTTCGCCTATTCGTAATTTGCCGCGCGATAAACATAAGAAGAACCACTTGTATTTTGCGTAAGCACCGACAGATGGCAGAACACTCCTTAAGACCGCACCGATCTCGACCGCACCGGTCGAGCACCGATCTTGCGTGGATCGCATTCGGCTGTTGTCAATAAGGCGCGTTTTCCTGTGATAAAATTCTTGCGTTTTGAAATTCAGATCTGACCAAAAAGAAGCAGGCGAGCTTAGGTCAGCAAACTCACTCGTGAGTCTTCTCACTAAGACTCAATCAGACTCATATCTGACCGTGTGTCTCAGTATGGGTGAGTCCGGGTGAGTAATATTTTGCTGAGCTTGAGTCAGAGTTAGTCCAAACAAGGAAAATTTGGGGAGTGTCAGCCCTAGTATAGTGCCTAGAACATATATTCTAGGCACTATACCCCTAGTCAGCCCTAAGCGCAAAATATATTTCGTGAGTGAGCCCTAAGGAGTTCCACTTTTTTTTTTATAAGACATACGAGACTCTACCAAATAAACCCTCGACTAGAACTCAGACCCCCATCCGGACTTCGTCGACGTGAAGCTTCGCTTCTTTGTCGCCTTTGGTTGGGGGTTGCGCCTTCACAAAAGCATATACAACCCTCATCGGATTGACCGACAATGCGGAATGCGACGTCAGCTGCACCGAAGAAGACATCGACCATCTGATATGCCATTGCCCTCGATTTGCCGCTAAAAGACAAGCTTCCGGACGCATTGCGACAATTACACGATCACCACTCTGTATGCAGATGCTACTGGAACACCGTCCTCGCCTTTCGTCGGATCAAAAAGCAGTCAAAGCCGTCTTGTGGTTTTTGAGGACTACAGGCCTATGTGAACACCTTTAACCTTTGTGTAGTGCCACCTCTGCATGCGCGTTAGCCCATTGACTATCAACCCTTTTTTTATCTTTCTCTTCTCTTTCCTCTTCCTTTCTCATCTTTATGCCCTCCTTCCGATTCCCCCAGCGTGGGGTAGCAAACCGGGCATGTGCCTGGTTAACCTCCCTGCGTTCTCTCTTGTTGTTCTTGTTCCCTCCTCTTTTTTACAACCTATGCATGTGTGTATCTAGAAACGGGAGAACATACACTACCTATCTCCTCCGCACCAATATATAAACCTAACCGCCGTGGTGTGTCTATGTTTCTCGACTGCTCACGCCGAAGGTCGCGCGATCGAATTCTGGCCGCGGCGGCCGCATCACGGTGTTGACGAAACACTGAACACCCGTGTGCTTAGGTTTGGATGCACGATAAAGAACACCAGATGGCCAACATTTTCAAATCCCTTCTATTTGGAGCCTCTCCTCATCCTATCGTGGTATTAGAACGTTAAACACAACAAAAATTTCATTTTTAGCGTCAAATGCTCATGATTCACGCGGGTGTTAAAAAAATCACAGCATATCCACAGAGCGAACGATGATGAGCGGGGCGAAGCGTCCATCCGTCCATCTTTACGTGTGTCCGTCCGTCCGTGCATACGTCCATGCGTCCGATTGCGTTCGAGAGTGCAGACGGCTAGCGGGTAACACCGACAAAAGGCGATCGAGCCAAGGAGCCGAGTGCAAGCGTCTTCAACGCGCCAGCCCCTCTGCTTCGTTCGTGCCCCACCAACGATCTTCGTGCCCCACCAACAATCTGCTACGTACGGCGACTATCCAGGACTATCCAGGAGACTGAGAGAGGCACTCGTTCTCCGCGTACCCAGGCAGAGCCCGCGCAGCAGCCAATCGAAGAGTAGTGGTACAGCGCCATCTAGAATATCCTCTCAAGGGCAGTTTCAATGTACTTCTATGAGACAGCGCCGTTTATTTTACTTTTCGGAAGATACTGCCTCCTTTTGTTTCTCGTCTCTTCTTCTCTCGGTTACGCGTGACGCAGGACAAGGTTAGACTAAGAGGAGCTTCGCCCCTAAAAGTTGTGAGCCAGGTAGTACCGGCGTTCAAAGGTTGTGATCAAAGTTAGAAATGTGTGCTATGTGCACACGGTTATGTGAAATATACAAGAATGTACAGTACGCCGCTTTTTCTTGTTCCCGTTTCACATTTTCAACTATACCTTGGCGGGGCAGCATTCCAACACGCGACATGATCAAGTGCGCGAAGGTTTCCATGCAAACATATTTCAATGTATATATGCGAGTGTCATTCATTGATGCGAGCATATTTTTATTTCTGAATCCAATTTTATTTGTTTGGAGATTATTTCAATGTGAAAT